GGCAAGAAGATTTTGAAAAAGGAATTTAATAGTGACCATCTTTTGTGGCCACGCATAACTTGAAACCCACATTGCCCCCTTACTCAAAATATTGCAGTGGAGGTTGTTTTTTAAAGTATATTTTATTTAAAAATATATTAATGTAATATTTTAAAAATATAAATTATTATTTTTAGTATTGTTGAATTTAAAAATATATAAAAAATTATTTAAATAAAAAATTCAAAATTTAATAAAACACCGTTCAAAAAAAAATTCTAAACCGTGTGTCCATATATTTTGTTGGAAGCAGAACGCAATTCTTAAACCGTATCTATGTATAATTTCTTGGAAGTAGAGATAAAGGCTCCGAAATAATTTAAAAAGCGTAGGCCCAATCAAGCCCACCCTGGTAATGGGCCGATTGGATATATGATACGGGCCATTGGGTAAAGGGCAGAGTCCAAGTCCCAGACCCAGGCAGCATATTATTATTTTCTCCATGAGAGGCCTTCCATAATCACTGTCATTGATCCACCGCCCCCCCTCTCTAATAAACGTCTTTTCCACTTCTTCTTATAATCACTGTCATTGATCCACCGCCCCCACTCTCTAATAAACGTCTTTTCCACTTCTTTTTTTATTTTTTCTATCATTAGAACATCACTTATCAGATAGGAAGTTATTAAGCTAAATTTGATTTGTGAATAAAAGAATTAAGTTTTCCCGTTTGCAGGCTCTGCTAATCTAATAGCTTGTGTATTCTTGAAACCTTTTTCTTGTCATATTTTCTTGAAGTTTGACACTACTCTTAACTAATTTTATCCACAAGTGTCTGTCATTGCAATCTTTCATTTATCTATAAAAGAGTAATATTAACAAATATTGAATTGCTCGAGCCAAGAAGGCCTCTGCTGCCAAGTGGATTCAAGATAAACTGGATCATCTGAATCCTTTTCATGGATGACCGTATAGTTTGAAGGCAAGTTTTTATAGAGAAGATGACCAATCAAATCTTTGATTTGAATTACAGAGCTAAAGAATGCGGAGTTCATTTTTGTGGTCTTCGTTTTGCTTTGATCTTCAGTTGGTAAAGTGCTAGATATCCTATGATGCAAAATGGCAAGACAGTGCTTAAGAGGAGGCACTATAGATTGTCACAAGCTATCCGAGCAATTTGAGGCCAGAATCCTTATCTTCTATTTCACGCAACGTATTATACAAGCTGCAAAAAAAAAATCTACGACGAGAGTATTATCCAAGCTGCAAAAGCACTTGATAGTAAACGTGTCTCAGAAGAATGATACACATCTTTGCCCATATAAAGAATCACATCCTAGAGAGAAAAAGCAGCTCGAACATGAAAATGTCATCACCACGACAAAAAAGCTCGATACTGGTTTTCAAAAGACAACAGCAGAACTGAAAAGCTGAGTTTAAGCAACGCAGCTCAGGTAAATATACCAACTTGTTACACATCTTTGCCTATTTTTTGCTTGTAAATGAATCTTCTTTTGAGACCCCTTTATAAAAATATTAAGAATTCTTAGCTGACCTATTTTCATTGATGTATGTGCCCACTGTTTTAAACCAGCGCATAAGACCCCGGTGCTCCTTCACATACATCCATGCTTGAAGAAAACCAAAAAGATCCTCATTCACTCCTCGTTCTTCAATAAAACGGTGGAATGCATCCCTCATCCTTTCATCAAGTTCCCTGTCAACGCGGGAACAATTTGTTGAAGTGTACAACCAAATAGTTTAAATTTCAAGTTATGCCAAAGAAATGAAGAATGGAGTAGTTTCAGTTGCCGCATCGAAAGAAATGGTTGCTAATCGAAAGTAGTGGTTCTTGAAGTTCATCTAATCAGCAACATTATCCGAATGCCAAAGAAATTGGTTCTTGTTTGATCATCATGTGCCCCGTTGTTATCCAATTTTTTAACACAGAATATTGAGAAAAGGGGGGAACAAAAGTTCCTCCAATGTGTCACGGTATACTCGTATCAAAAAAATATGATTCAGTTTTAATCATTATATGCCTCATTGTTTTTCAATATTTTAACGCCTTATGACTTCAAATTTATTGAATCATCGACCAAAAAAAGAGAAACGAGAATGACAACTTACACAAAATGTGGGCCACTGTATGTAGTTGTATCCTCAAGAAAGTCAGCACCGTCAAGCTTTGGCCTCAAAGAAACAGAGTGAATTCCCAGCGCATCTGTATAAAGTCCACATAGAAAATGCAGAGATTTATCTTGTCCAGGCTTCGAAACATCCACATGAAGGAAGAACTGATTCACGCCCTCGTCATTTCCGTCAGACTCCTCATCACCAGGTGCAATATAAGCCATCCGCATTATAGAGAGTCTAATTTCTTCATTCCCATAAGTGCGAATCAGAACTGGACCATTCCCATCCAAAGCACCTTTTATTATTGAAAAGGCAGGTGGAGGGTTCACTTTCTACAACAAATTCAAGTTCAAGATATAGCATTAGCCAATACAAATCTCTCACACTCTCTCACTCGCATATTCATACACATTAAGCCCAATTCAACGCACAAAATCATGCATAATTCTAATTTGACAAACAAACATATAAGCATGCATACATGGACAAACATAAGCTCAGCTTTCTAGATTCCCTATAGTCACAAACTTCACTCAACAAAAGCAGACATACAAGCATGTACATAGGCGTAAGTAACCTCGATAAATTAAACATCGAGTAGAAGGTGGCTTCACCTCCTTAAGTTGCCTAAGGCCACAAACTTTACTCAACAAAACCAAACACACACAGCAAAAGTTGTCAAAAATCATAAAAGAACAAAGATGGGTTTACCATTTTTAATCCAAGTAACCTGTTGAACTAACATGTGCGAGAGTTTCTCTATATAAAACCCTAAATTCTTCATGGGGTTCCTTTAAAAGCAAAAACAGAAAAAGGGTTTTGCTTTTTAAAGAGAAACAAAACCCTAAAACGGTTTTTAAGTAAAGTTTGTGTTCTCTTACAGGAGGAGGGTTCATTTTCGAGACTTGAAGATAGTGCTCTTTAAGAGACCGAAGCAACAGTGTGTCCACAGCGGCGGATATGCTTGTTGGTGATGATGATGACCATCTCTTACTTGTTATGGTGCTCCATGTTTGCCTCGTTGTAGCTTCTCTGAACACTCTCTTCCACATTTCTATTTCACTTCTCTAAAACCAGAGCAAATTTCAGAACTTTATTCTTGTGTGCAACAAAAGAGATACGAACAGAGAGCAGAAGAAGCAAGAAAGATGTTTCATAACCCGACCCGTTTTTACCTTATCTTCAGATAGTGGGCCTGTGAAGATTTAGTTATAGAGGGCAGTTAGGCCCGATCTAACAGTTATGCCCCAGTTCATATCTGAGTTTTGATTTATGATATGTGTTTGGTCAGATATTTTTTTTTGTAAAGAGAATTTGTTAAATGTTGCTAATATATTTTTAAATAGTAAAAATAATCATTCACTCAAAATATAATTTATATTTGATGATTTTTTAAAATATTAAAATTATAACATATTAGATAAATATTTTTTTAAAACACTAAAACAGTAATATATTTGAACAATTTACTAAATTAACATGTTAAATTCACTGAAATAATTATATTATAGTAACCCTATAAAAAGTAAATGGAAATAAGTTATAAATTTTAATTACAAATCAATTTAATCTTGAAAGATAAGATTAAAAAACAATACATAATTAAAAAATAAAAAAAATTAACACAAGTCAACTTGTCAATCTCATAACTTAAGTTACGAGATCAGGATAAAATAGTGTAAAGCATGTCAAAAAAAATACTTGAAAACTTAATTCTTAACTAACTCAATATTAATAATATAAATTAATTTTGGTTAATTTATAAAACTTATAATTTCTGTTATAAAATCATGATAATTAAATAAAAAAATAAATAAAAAAACTTAATTATACCAAATCTAGCATTTCATAATAATTTCATATAAAATAAATTAAAAAACTAAATAAAAACATTTTGAATTATTAAAAAATAAAATTACAAAAACAAAAAAACAAAACATTGTTCCAACAAACAATGTTTCATGCCATAGTTTTTAAATTTTAATAATTTTATTTTACTATAAATTTAATTATTTGTGTTAAAAAAATATTTATTTTAATTTTGTTATAAAATAATCACTCAAGTGAAAAACATAACAAAACAAAGTGCACAAAAACCCCTATAAAATATAAAAGATTACACAATACTACCATAACTTCATCAAATATGAACAGGTAAAAAATTGACCTCTGCCAAATTATTTTTAATATTTTTAAAGAGTTAATAAAATGATCAAAGAAATATATTGATTTCTTTTTGAATTCAAACCTTAAGAATAATATTCATATAATTCATCATTTTTTAATAAATTAGGATAATGTGAAAGTATATTTTTTAAATGAAAAAATATTTTATTTAGTTGTTCTAAATCAAGTTAAAAACAATTATTCTAGTTAAGGTATATTTAGAATTATAATAGTGGTTTAAAATATTTTTTATTTAAAAATATATTAAAATAATTTTTTTTATTTTTAAAAAGTGATTTTTTAGATAAACATTTCAAAATATTATAAAAATATAAAAATATAAAAAAATTTAAAATTCGAGAGAATACAATTTCAACCGTGTTTTTAAATTATTTTTTAATTTTTTATAAATATGATAAATTTTAAATTAAAGTTTGGAAATATGATTGTAATTATTTTTTAAAATATTTTTTATTTATAAATATATTAAAATAATATTTTTTATTTTTAAAAATTATTTTCAATATTAATCCATTAAAAATATTAAAAAATATTAATTTAAAATAAAAAACCTTTTAATTTTTTTTTTTTAAATATAAACACAAAAGGTCTGTCATGCCCATAAAGAATACATGGCATCACTCGTTCCCAATCCTGCGTCTCTTCAAGTTACTCAATAGATCCTGAAAACGAAAGCAAAGAAGCAAACCAAAGTAAAGTGAAGTATTATATCAGATAGTGCAACGCTGTTTTCAAACAGCTGCTAATTCGTGTATTGCCGTGTTTCTTTTGGGATTACAGAGAGAGACCGCCGGCGTACGGGGATGGGAATATGAACCCGTACGGTGGAAGTGGACAAAGAATGAGAGGAAATGCAGGGGCAATGAGTAATAGTTATGGAGGAGGAGGAGGAAGGCAAGATGGGTATTCTAGTGTGGAGGCAGAGCAGCATCCTGGGTATTAATCTTCAAAAGCTGAAGGGCAGTAGCAGTGGGACAGAGATTCACAGAATGTTCACAATCAACTGCCTACTCATGGTTTCAGTGAAGGTGAGTGAATACTGTGTGTTTCTTGATGTTATTGTGTTTGATGGATGTTTAATTAAGAGAGTGAAAGTAATGTTTGTTAGAAGTTAAGAGTTTTTTGGGTTGTTGAAGGTGGTGAATTTGATTTGAACATTGAAGGAAAGTTTGAACTTTCTTTGACGGTATAGGAATTAACGTTAAGCGTTTGGAGTTATCAGAACAATGGTGGAAGGACAATGAGGAATTGGGTGTTAATGATAAGAACTGGTAGGTGGAATTGATGGAAGTGAAAGTTGTGTTAAGAGCCCAGTTGGCATAACTTAGTTTACCTCGAGTCACAATTCAAAAGTTGTTTTTCATAAATAATGTGACAAAAATAAGTTGAGAAATATGTCCGGTAAAAATGTTTCAAAACGAATTTTTCGGGGAAGAGGTATGGTATTAAGTAGAATCCGAGTTCAAAGTTGAAAATTTTAACTTTTGATTAAATCAAAATCTACTCTCACTCTTGTAACAAATTTTTTATTTCAGTCAGAAGTTGTCTAATCAAATATATTTATAACATTTCTAAAAGTAAAAAGTTTAAAAAACAACTCAAATCAATGCACAAAAGTCATACCACACAGAACCTTGGTTCATTTGAAGTGGGTGATATCATGACCCTTTTGAGCGTAGTATTGAATCCAGATGATCAAAGAAAGCTATGAACTTATTTACAATGTAGAGCTGTGAGCTG